CGAGTCAGTGGCAACAGACCCGTGTGAGTGAGCCGACACAGACACAGACACAGACACACACACACACACACACACACACACACACACACACACACACACACACACACACAGACACACACACACACACACACACACACACACACACACACACACACACACACACACACACACACACACACACACACACACACACACACACAACAGACCCCCTGTTCAGGTAGGAGGCGGAACCCAAAAAAGAAAGAAAAAACCGACAACCCAAGGGAGGGATGAGGACGGCACGCCGCCACCACACAGGGATTTTAAGGAGAGGGGTGTGATGCGCTAGCCGTCGCCCACCCTTGGGCGTCCGCCTCTTCCTATCTCTCTTCGCAGTCTCTCGCAGATTCTCGCTGCGACCTTCATGCCACCTCGCGGTCGCCCCCTTCTCGTCGTTCTTTCCCTTGTCTCTTCTTCTTCTGTCGCGTCGCTCTCCTCTGCTTCGTTCTGCGGAACCCAGAGGTGGCATCCATGGTTTCCTCTTCATTTTTCAATTCAAGGCGCAAATGGCGCGCCGAATGTTGGTCCTACTGCCGGTGATAGCGGCGGCGGTGGCCACTCCCGAGGGCAGCCGCTCCCGCTCGCCCGCGACCCTGCCGGTGATAGCGGCGGCGGTGGCCACTCCCGAGGGCAGCCGCTCCCGCTCGCCCGCGACCAAGGCGGCGGTGGAGAGCACCCAGGCGGTGTACGACAGCGCTGCAAAAGACAAGGAGGCCACCGACACCGAGCTCCTCAGTGCGCTCTCGGATGCCATCGCTGCGGACCTCTCGGCTGCCAACTCGAAGGCGGCTGCGACCCTCTCGTCGGCGGCGGCTGACTGGACACCGGATGACCCATCTCCGTCGCCGCCGCCTTGGTACACGTCGTACCCCAAGGCTGATGCTGCCTTTGCCCCGCCCGCCGAGAAGGAGGAGGCTGTCGCGGGCGAGGGCGCCAAGGCGCGCGGCGGCTGGATGCCGTTCGCGCAGCAGGGCGCCGCCAACGGGCGGTGGCTTTGCCGCGCAAGGCACCGACACCGCCTGGCGCTTCTTCACGGACCCGAACTTCGACTTCCAAAAGGAGGGGCAGGCGTACCAGGCGTCGGGCGCGGCCACGGGCAACGCGTTCGGCGGCCTCTCGCAGGGCATGCTGCCGCAGCAGCAGCAGGCGGCGGCGGCGGCGTCGCCCGAGGCGGCGGCGGCACCGGCTGAGAAGATGGGCTGGCAGAGTTTCGCGCAGCAGGGCGCTTCGACCGGCGGTGGCTTCATGCAGCAGGGCGCCGGCACCGCCTCGGCCTTCATGACGGACCCGAACTTCGACTTCGCAAAGGAGGGCGACAAGTACAAGGCGTCGGGCGCCCAGACCCAGTCCGCGTTTGGCGCGCTCGGCCGGGAGAAGTCCGCCGAGGCGGCGCCTGCGGCCGAGGCTGCGCCGGCCGATGGCGCCAAGCCGCGCGGCGGCTGGATGCCGTTTGCGCAGCAGGGCGCCGCGACCGGCGCCGGCTTCGGCGCGCAAGGCATGGACACGGCGTTCCGCTTCTTCACGGACCCGAACTTCGACTTCCAGAAGGAGGGGCAGGCGTACCAGGCGTCGGGCGCGGCCACGGGCAACGCGTTCGGCGGCTTGTCGCAGGGCATGCTGCCGCAGCAGCAGGCGGCGGCCCCGGCGGCGGCGGCCCCCGAGGCGGCGGCGGCACCGGCTGAGAAGGTGGAGGCGGCTGCGGCGGCGGCTCCGGCAGCCGAGGGCGCCAAGTCTCGCGACATGTTTGGGCCTCTGGAGTGCTTTGGCAACAGCGACGAGTGCGCAAAGCGGGTGCAGAGCCACCCCGCGGACCTTGTCGGTGGCCACACGAACGCCGTCATCGGGGCCTCCGTCCTCGGCGCCGTCGTCGGCGGCGGGCCGATTGGCGCCGGCGCTGCGGGTGCGCCGCCGCGTCTCTTTCCTAGCAGCCCCGTCGCCCCTTGGTTCCCTCGCCCTTTGCAACCCCCCCCCCCCCCTCCTCCTCCCCTCCGCCTTTCCTCGCTTCTCCCCTCCCACTGCGCTCACTCCCCGCCGCCCCCCCGCAGGCCTGCTGACCAACACGGTGCTTCCGGGCGACGAGGACGCCGAGCCCGCGCACGAAGAGCACGCCCAGGGATACGGCAAGGGGCACGGCGGCTACCGCCCATACAACTACCGGTACGGCGGCGGCGCGCCCGCCAAGGGCTATGGCGGCTACCGCCAGCACAACTACGGCTATGGAGGCGACTTTGGCGGGTACCACTACGGCGGCGGCGGCGGCGGCGGCGGCGGCTACCGCAACCGCGACGTTCCCTCTCCGGCCGATGGCGCCAAGCCGCGCGGCGGCTGGATGCCGTTTGCGCAGCAGGGCGCCGCGACCGGCGCCGGCTTCGGCGCGCAAGGCATGGACACGGCGTTCCGCTTCTTCACGGACCCGAACTTCGACTTCCAGAAGGAGGGGCAGGCGTACCAGGCGTCGGGCGCGGCCACCGGCAACGCGTTCGGCGGCCTGTCGCAGGGCATGTTGCCGCAGCAGCAGGCGGCGGCGCCGGCGGCAGCGGCGCCCGAGGCGGCGGCGGCACCGGCTGAGAAGATGGGCTGGCAGAGTTTCGCGCAGCAGGGCGCTTCGACCGGCGGTGGCTTCATGCAGCAGGGCGCCGGCACCGCCTCGGCCTTCATGACGGACCCGAACTTCGACTTCGCAAAGGAGGGCGACAAGTACAAGGCGTCGGGCGCCCAGACCCAGTCCGCGTTTGGCGCGCTCGGCCGGGAGAAGTCCGCCGAGGCGGCGCCTGCGGCCGAGGCTGCGCCGGCCGATGGCGCCAAGCCGCGCGGCGGCTGGATGCCGTTTGCGCAGCAGGGCGCCGCGACCGGCGCCGGCTTCGGCGCGCAAGGCATGGACACGGCGTTCCGCTTCTTCACGGACCCGAACTTCGACTTCCAGAAGGAGGGGCAGGCGTACCAGGCGTCGGGCGCGGCCACGGGCAACGCGTTCGGCGGCCTCTCGCAGGGCATGCTGCCACAGCAGCAGGCGGCTGCGGCGGCGGCGGCGCCCGAGGCGGCGGCGGCACCGGCTGAGAAGATGGGCTGGCAGAGTTTCGCGCAGCAGGGCGCTTCGACCGGCGGTGGCTTCATGCAGCAGGGCGCCGGCACCGCCTCGGCCTTCATGACGGACCCGAACTTCGACTTCGCAAAGGAGGGCGACAAGTACAAGGCGTCGGGCGCCCAGACCCAGTCCGCGTTTGGCGCGCTCGGCCGGGAGAAGTCCGCCGAGGCTGCGCCTGCGGCCGAGGCTGCGCCGGCCGATGGCGCCAAGCCGCGCGGCGGCTGGATGCCGTTTGCGCAGCAGGGCGCCGCGACCGGCGCCGGCTTCGGCGCGCAAGGCATGGACACGGCGTTCCGCTTCTTCACGGACCCGAACTTCGACTTCCAGAAGGAGGGGCAGGCGTACCAGGCGTCGGGCGCGGCCACGGGCAACGCGTTCGGCGGCCTCTCGCAGGGCATGCTGCCGCAGCAGCAGGCGGCGGCGGCGGCGGCGGCGGCGCCCGAGGCGGCGGCGGCGGCACCGGCTGAGAAGTCTGCCGAGGCGCCGGCGACGGAGGGCGCCAAGCCGCGCGGCGGCTGGATGCCGTTTGCGCAGCAGGGCGCCGCGACCGGCGCCGGCTTCGGCGCGCAAGGCATGGACACGGCCTTCCGCTTCTTCACGGACCCGAACTTCGACTTCCAAAAGGAGGGCCAGGCGTACCAGGCGTCTGGCGCGGCCACGGGCAACGCGTTCGGCGGCTTGTCGCAGGGCATGCTGCCGCAGCAGCAGCAGGCGGCGGCGGCGGCGGCGGCGCCCGAGGCTGCGGCGGCGCCGACTGAGAAGGCGGGCTGGCAGAGTTTCGCGCAGCAGGGCGCTTCGACCGGCGGTGGCTTCATGCAGCAGGGCGCCGGCACCGCCTCGGCCTTCATGACGGACCCGAACTTCGACTTCGCAAAGGAGGGCGACAAGTACAAGGCGTCGGGCGCCCAGACCCAGTCCGCGTTTGGCGCGCTCGGCCGGGAGAAGTCCGCCGAGGCTGCGCCTGCGGCCGAGGCTGCGCCGGCCGATGGCGCCAAGCCGCGCGGCGGCTGGATGCCGTTTGCGCAGCAGGGCGCCGCGACCGGCGCCGGCTTCGGCGCGCAAGGCATGGACACGGCGTTCCGCTTCTTCACGGACCCGAACTTCGACTTCCAGAAGGAGGGGCAGGCGTACCAGGCGTCGGGCGCGGCCACCGGCAACGCGTTCGGCGGCCTCTCGCAGGGCATGCTGCCGCAGCAGCAGGCGGCGGCGGCGCCCGATGCAGCGACGGCGCCCGAGGCTTCGGCCATGCGCGCAGCTTCCCAGCCGGTTCGCAAGCACCTTGTTCTCGGCCCGTTTTCGATGGGCTTGGTCGTGCTCGCTGTGGCCGCGGCTGTCATTGGCGCTATCCGTGCTCGCGCGCGTGCGGTGTGGGTCAAGGGTTTGAAGTACGCGCGGCAGACCAACGCCGACGAGTTCGTCTAAATGCGACTACGCGCGTGCACGTTCGTCGTGGTTGATAGTAAGGGCGGTTCGATTGCTACCGCACGCCGTTCGCTGCTATGTCGATTTAGTTTGCGTCGAGACTTCTTGCGGCGCAACGACACGGATTGAGAGGTATTGGGGGCTTGGCGGCAGGCGCGCACTGCGCAGGCCGCAGCGGCCAGCGCGTCGCTCTCATCAGACGGCGCGCTGGGCGTGTGTGGGGGATTGGGTTGAGGAGATTGGGTTGAGGTGTGTGGTCGTGGCTCTTCGCTGGCGAGAAGTATATATATAATCTGGTTCAAAAGCAGTAAAGAGCCGTAGAGTAGCAGACCAGGCATCAGCCATCACACAACTCCCTTCCTAGAGAACGCTAACCTCTAAGCCGAACCAGCCCCCTCCCCCCCCCCCCCCCCCTCGCTGTCGCGACTCCGCTCTCTCGACTCTCGTGCCTCTGGCCTCTCTGCCGAGCATAAAGAGTGTCACAGCAAGAGGCAGCACGATCTGTCGTACCCGTGCACCGAGACGCGAGCCATCAGGGCCGCCTCTGGCACCACGCAACCCGGTGGCGGCGCGGGTGGCGATGGGGGCGGGGACGGCTGGCCCAGCGACGCGAAAAGTGCCCTCAGAGGGAGGGAGTCCGTGGTAAAATTCTCTTTATTTTGAGCTAAGAAGTGCAGTAGCCTCAGTACAAGCGCAACTGGCGCTGCAACAGGGCCACGCACCCGTCGCGCAGCGGCTCGCACCACGGCCTCTCGCTCCACCCGCGGGACACGCTGGGGAACAGAGTCAGAGCGAGCGGGAGACGGACAGCCTCACCGCGCGGATCCAGGGCACCTCTTCTGACGTTGACGCGATGCGGCCCGCTAAATTCTTTATTTTATCGAGTGTCGCCAGTGTCCGCCCTGGCGAGTAGAGGCACACGCACGCTCTCCCGAGGTCTCTCTGCCCAGAGCCCTGTCGAGTCCTCGAATGGGTACCCTGGGTGGGCAGGGCCTCTACTCGCCGTGTCCGCCTGTAGGATTCCTACGCCGCGCGCGGGCGGAGCTCCTCCAGGGTTCTGGTGTGTCTTGCGTATATGCTCTCACTGTGCGCCGCCGCGGCGTCCTCTACCGCTCTCGCACCCGATGTCTGGACCGCGTCGGCCGTGCCGACTGCATCGATGCTCTCCGCCGGCAGAAACGCCGGAGAGGTTTCTCTCTGGGGGAGCGTGCGCCCTCGTGCACGGCCCGTCGCGCTGTGGGAGCTCAAGCTCTTCTTCAAGGCCGAGGACGACATGCAGAGGCAGCTCGGGCTGCGCGGTCAGAAGGACCAGGACGACACCTTTGGTTTGATCGCCGGCATCGCCGTCTCTGGCGTCGTCACCTCCTCTGTCATCGAGGCGTCGAGCCTGCCGCCAGTGGCCAAGCTGCCCCTCGGCGCAATCTGCTCGCTCGCACCCTTTCTCGCCCTCGCCGCCGGCGTCGCTGTGCCGCAGGCCTCCTCCCTGCCTCTCTCTCCTCCCTTCGACCTCTCCTGTCGCCGTTCACTCCCGTTCACTCCTTCCCTCGCCGCCCCCAGGCCATGCAGGCGTCGGTGACCGCGCTGCGCCGCTTGGACCCCGCCTACCGCCGCCGACAAAACTTCCACGAGGCACCGCTCAACCCCGACCGCACCGGGCCTTGCACTGTAGTATGCCGTGGGGCTCCCGTCTCTGGACGCGGCGAGGGCTGCCTGACCCTTGCCCCAGCGCGTGGAGAAGAGAGGTTTCCGACTGCTCACAGGAGAGAAGGCGGGTCGCCTCGTGGTCGGCTGGTCGCAACCCTCAGGAACCCTCTCAGAACCCACCCGCAGGCGGGCCACTTCCTGGTCGGCCATTTGCTCGGGCTCGAGGTGGCCGAGTTTAACGCCGCGAGCGCCGACGGAGCGGGCGCGCAGGTCGCCTTTGCCGGCCCAGAGGCGCAGGCGCGCACGCACGACGTGGTCGACGGGCCGGCTGAGCTAGAAGCGGAACACGGGTCGTTGCATTCCAGCTGTGGCACTGGAGCGGTCGCGGACTAGTCGCGCCGTATTCAGCCTTGCTCGGCTGCACTCACTGTATTCGGATCCCTCGTACTCATGCGGTGCTTCCAACCCACGGCACGGCACTGTCTTCACGCCCTGATGGTGGCGTATTCAGTCGTTGGGCTGGCCGTGGTTGTCGCCTCCTTACTCACCACTCACAATGCGTAGGCTGGCCGTCCTGGCGATGGCAGGCGTCGCCGCAGAGGTGATCGCGTGCGGCAGCGCGGAGGGCGGGTACGCCGACGTGGCCCAGCTGAAGGGGATGCTTGCGACCGCCTCTCCGCCGGTGACCGAGGCGCGAGCCGTCGACGACCGCATTCGCTGGGCCACGCTGATGGCTCTGACGATGCTGCAAAACCACCGGCCGTGCCTCGAGGCGCTCGCCGAGCGGTTTGAGAGCGCGAGGGACGCGGGCGAGTGCATACGGCTGCTCGAGGCGACGGCGCGTGGGCCCCCCCCGAGGGGAGTTGAGTCGAGAGACTGAGAGGGCGGATAAGGGGGTGGCCCATTCGCCTCTTCTGCGTTCTCACACACATGCTACCCAACGCGGCCAAAGGATGATCAACCTCGAGAACCGCTCGCACATGCGACATGGAGTGTGTGCGAGGTTCTCCACTCTGTTGCCGTCCCAAACTGTCCCTCCCTTATCACCGTGCCAGGAAGGCGGGGAACAAAGAAAAAGCAAGAAAAGAATTTAAACAAGAGGTGCGAACTGGCGCGTGCTAGCACAATCACATGCACGAAGAAAAGAATTCTTAAGATACAAGCCTCTCTCACAGCACACTGGCACGACAAGGGCGCGGACTGGCGCGGACTGGCACACACACCGGCTCACAAGAAAAGAATTGCGTGTGCTTGGCGCGGTCGCAGTGGGGGCTCGAGTTCTTGAGAGAGAGCACGCATCTGCCTGGCCTCAAGAATGCCTTGCGCGGACCACGCCTCTTGCGACAGCTGCCTCGAGCCTGGTGACTCAAGCGAGGGGTGCTTTTGGTGCCACGCGAGCGGCACCTGCGAGATGGCGTCAATCGGCACCGAGCCGTTTGGCGAGTGCGAAGATCCGTCGTACGCGCGCGGGATGTGCGCGTGTGCGCACCACACGTCGTGCGGGAGCTGTGCCGTAGCGACGAACCCCGCCTGCGTCTGGATCGGGCCGGCCGAGCTTCGCGGCAGCGTCGAGTGAGCCGCTCGCACCCTTACAGCTGCACCCGCAGCGCAGAGGCTATCCCTCACGCCTCCTGCCTCGCCTCAGGTACACGAATAACTTCTTTTTCACCAGCTTCGCAACCCGCCAGTCGATGTCCTCCCTCTCTGTCCGCGCGGGCGGCTGCCACCCCGGCTGGGGCTTTGGAGCCTTTGGGCTCGTGCAGAATGCGACGCTCTTCAACGGCGGCATGGGCCACCTCTCGGTGCAGACCGAGCTGGTACCCGACGAGTACTTTTGGGCGCAGTGCTCCCTCCCCAACGAGGGCTCGGCGCTCCTCATGATGGGCGCCATCGCCGCCGCCGCCGCCGTGCTGTCTGCCCTCATGGGTGCCATCTTCCCGCAGCGCCCGAAGCGAGCGATTTCCGAGCTCCCGCTGATCTAGGCTTAGCCAGCCGCTCCCTCTTGCGAAAGGGCATACAAGCTCGCGGCAGTACTCCCGCACGAGAGACAGTCGTACGGCATGCAGAGAAGTGGGTACGTATGTTTAGAGCCGTAGATGGCACCTACTGTAGAACCCCGCAGCCGCACTGGGGCGCACACCGCACCGGCACAGGCGCACCGCACACCCTTGCTAGAAAGTTTCCAAAAGAAAGGAGACACGGGGAGAAATGGGGAAATCCGAACTCCCCCAGATGAGCGGCGGGCGGAAAGAGGCCAAACGAGCTGCTGACGAGCTGATCACTGATGTTGGTGATGAATGCAGAATGGCCGGGCCAAGAATCTAGCAAGAATGCGCTGAATGGCCGGCCGCCAAAAAGAGCTCAAAAATCGCGGATCGCGCCCAGCAGCGGAGCACAGGGACCTTTGGAGATAGCTTGCTATGTAGAAGGTTATCCTTCAACGTGAGGAAAAGAAAGAAAGAAAGAAAACGGACAACCCAAGGGAGGGATGGGAGGACGGCACGCCGCCACCACACAGGGATTTTAAGGAGAGGGGTGTGATGCGCTAGCCGTCGCCCACCCTAGGGAGTCTGCCTCTTCCTATCTCTCTTCGCAGTCTCTCGCAGATTCTCGCTGCGACCTTCATGCCACCTCGCGGTCGCCCCCTTCTCGTCGTTCTTTCCCTTGTCTCTTCTTCTTCTGTCGCGTCGCTCTCCTCTGCTTCGTTCTGCGGCGCCGCCGCCTCCTGCCGGTCCCTTGCTCTCGCGGCTTCTTGCGCCTTTCGGCGCAGCTCCGCCCTCCTCGCTGCATATCCTGGCCCCTCGAGTCTATCGAGCTCTCCTCGAGCAAGGACGAGTCTTCTGACGCCCACTGCTATCATTTGCCACCCAGTCATATTATTGCTCAGGTCCACTCTCTCTTCGAACACGTGTGCCCTCACTGATGATGCCGGCGCTGTGGTCCCCTTCGGGTGCATCGTGACGGCTGACAACGGGATTTCCACTGGTTCGTCCTCCTCGGAGTCGTCTTCCCCCTCTTCCTCCCGCTCGGCTCTACGTTCGGGTCTCCGAGGGTAAGTTCCGTGTACCGGGTTTCCCCTTAACTGCAGAATGAGCTAGATCTAACTCACACACACTTATCGAATTCTTTTTTGTTAGTCCGTGCATTTGCTCTCCGCCGCCTTTTTTGCAGCATTATTTTGCTCTCCGTGTGAAGGTCTCAATGTCCCACCCCCCTGCGCGAGGGCCTTCTAGGCCCGCGGGTAGTCTCACCCCATCCCCAGGGCCTCCAGGGCTCGCACCTCAACCTCTCACAGACCAGCGCAGGGCGCCAACGGAGGTATTTTCTTCTCAATAACAAGGCTGTGAACGGCGACTGGGGAATCATCATGAGATCGACCCTCGTGGGATTCGCGCTCGGCGTCAGCAGCTCCGACGCTGCTGTCGGCGTGCCTCCCGCCCTCCTCGCCTGGCGTCGCCATGGCCGCCCGCATCGCTGGAGAGCAGCCGGCGGCATGGAGCCCGCACACATGCGCGTGTTCGTGGTCGGGCTCGAGAGCAGCGGCACTCGCTGGCTCGCCTCGGAGATTGCGCGATGCATCTTTGCATTCTCGCATCACTGGAACGGAGCAAAGCCGCCGTGCATCTCTCGCCGCGACGTCTCGGTCTCTCACATCTCGCTCCCGGCGCACGACGTATGCAGAAGGCGGATGCCGCCGGTCGTGTCGCTGAACGGATCAAGCGACCTGTGCGGCGTCAAGCGAACACCCAAGTGCCGTGGGGCTGGGCCTTGGGGCTGCGGCCGACATTTCCTCAATGTGTCGGGCCTCCTTGACATCGAGCGCAGTCGATTGGTCGTCGTCAGGCGACACTTTGGCGTGACTCGGTTTTCCAAAGAGTTCATGCGCGGCGGCTTCCCCGTCGTCCACTGCAAGCACGATGATATCGCTCGGGCCGAGATGGAGACTGGCCTTGCTCTGATCAATCAGGCGCTGCAACGAGACAGCAGCCGTGTGATGGTGGTCGACTACGACTTTATGGATGACGGCTGGCAGTGGCCCAGGCTGGCGATGTTCTTACGAGGCGCACCTGCCGTCTGCGATCCCACAGTTGACATCGACGCGATCCGACGAGTAGCAGGCGCCAACTTCTCCGATCGCTCAGGCGAGATCACGCGGCTGGCAGCCATGGGCCTCAAAGGGTGAGACTTTAGCAGCTTGCGCCGACAATGCGTGCCCGTGGACACGGCCTGTGAACGACGCCCGGCGGCTTCAACGTGCACCTCTCTCGCGTGCACGGGGTTAACGATGTCGCGCGCGTGACACGCCCGCC